GCAGGGGTCTGTTAAATGGACTGTCCTTGGTTCTTTCTAGTAGTTGGGAGTCAATGCTTGTTGTTTTTAATTAGCCATGACAATGAAACAAAGGGATGCCAATGTCTAGGTAACTAGTTAGTGTCATGGGGTTGGTAGATGGTGGAAACAAGTGTTGGTTTCCTCAACATGGAAGGAAAAACCAAGGTTGAACTATCTAGGTCACTTTTCCTCAACAATTAAAATTAACCTGAAACTCACCCTTCTCTACAAGTGAACTGACTGCTAAGGAGATGACTTAGAATTATACAGAAAAGCGAGGAACTGGGCAATTTAATTTAACATCAGAAATAGCTCAGCATACCTACTGAACACACCATAGTTGTTCCTTAACATGGAGTTTGCATGATAAAGTTCTGAGTGAGGCCTTGGTCATTGGGGAAATATGGTCACAGCAGGAGCTGGTTTGGCTTCCTCTGTGCCCTTCAGTCCACACCTAAGCACCTATTTTCTAGAGTACACTTGCCATCACCACCTGTACATTTAAAAATTCCCCGAGGAAGAAAAGATAGTATTCAGCAGACCTCAAAGTCTTAGATGTGTGTGGTCACCAACATCACAGACCCAAAGGCTATCTGTGCTAGGTCCTTTTCCCTTGTGGAGTACCTGCTTACTGCCAGCATTCAGATATAGCAGAACTCTCATGCCAGGACTCAGAGATGCCTAAGAATCCAGGGGAAGGGATGAGGGATACTTTTACTCATCAGAAGCCTGCCTGACAGGATGAGGCTAAGCTGCTCCACAGAACCCTGTACTGTTCTTAAACTGCAGATCACAATTAACCAAGAGCCAGCTTTTGCAGAACAAATCTGGCAAGTTCTACCAAGACATATTTGCACTATAGTGACTGATATTTCTGATTGTACATAAATGGGAAAAAGTTGTGTGTGCTTCAGGAACCATGAAATTCACCTACTTTGCAAAGACACGTGGCCTATGAAGTTTGTTAAGGAAGCGAAGATGTGTTCCAGTTCTCTTAATAAAAAGCAGCATTCTCAGAGGGGCTTAGGCAACTTCAGGAGAAGCAAAACTCAGAATGAAGAATACTGTAGTACAAAAGTATGGCCAAAAATACTGTATTTTTAACCAGTAAGATCATTGGGGCATTATTATACAACATTAGGTGTTTTTTCTTTTCTTTTTTTTGCAAAACTAGTTCCCATCCCCAAACAATAGACAATACATGCATTTGAATGACATTTTAAGAACAGTAAATATGATTTTTTAAATACTGCAAGTTAAAAATGTTTTTGACAAAACTCCTTCCAACATGAGGGTGGATGCGGAGTGTCCGGCCAGAGGCTGCAATTACAGTCCTTTGAGGAAATCCGCCAGAAATGTGTTTCAATGAAAGTAACCCAGACAAATTTACACAGTGTTTTTCCACTTTCTTTCCTAACCCTAGAAATAGCTCAATGAACGATCTTCCTCCCTGTATTTTCTTCTTGTCAAAGCTTTTATGAAAGCCAGAATTCCTTTATCTATGCAAGATCCAATTTTTACAAAAGAGCTGTTTTTGTAACGTGTAAATGTTATTAATCATTGGGTTCAAATTTTATGGAGATGGAAGCTCCATGGTGGATATGAAAGAGAGGGACATAATGCCTGAGCACCTACTGTGCATCAGGTGTGTATGCGTAGTCTGAACACATGATTCTAGAAGCAAGAACGCTATGGCAGGGGTGGGGGTGGTGGGCACATAGCAGGAGACAGCATTATTGTGAGAAAGACAGAGTGGAGAGACTCAGCAAAGCTATCTGTGGAATGGCAGGTGTCTGGCTTCCCAAACCTCTACCACATCACACACAAACCAAGCCATTTATTTCTCCTTGTTGTCTAGAACCCAAATGGAATCCCAAAGATACAAGTCCCAGGGCATCTAGTAATGCTGCATATGCTGCTAGTGTGCGAAGACAGCTGAACACACATTATTAGCTTCCACTTTCCTGTTTCTAACCACAAAAGTATTAATGTACACCCAAGCACATCTTATTTGTGTTATCAACTGAGATGCTGTTAATTACCACTTGAGTGGCTTGAAACCCTTATGTAATTTTAAGAAGAGCAGCAATATACATTACGATATTTGGGTACACTTTATTTTTATATGGGTTAACATTCTGCTATAGTTCACTTCATTCGTTCTCTTGAGAAACTGAAAACAAAGGGGCATCGGGGTTCATCTGAAGGGATCTGAGGAATTTCCAACCAAGATCTGAGTCTTGCAGTATCTTATTATGCAGCCCTTTCTTCCCATTATATTATTTTTATTTTTTGCAAATAATCAAGTCATTTTGACCCAAATCCAGCATAAACAGCTTTTCACCAATTCCTACTTAAGACAACTAAAATTTACAATCATGTGGCAGTATAAATTTTTAAGTTACAATTCGTACAACTTGACAATCAATAGAAGTCTGAAGTACAAAAAAGTAAATTGCCCTTTGGCTGAATTACCTTTTAAAACTATTAGGCCTGCTAATGTAATCTAAATTAAACAAAACAAAAACAAAACCCCCAAGCCCCCATGTTCCAGGTGTTCTTTACATGTCGCCTGTGGATGCCACCTGCCAGTAAACGACATGTGCAGGCTCCTAAGAAGAATTTGCCAGCTACTCAGGACATTCAACAGAGCTCTTCCTAAGGAAACCCAACAGGTTCTATGGGACTTAATGACTTTTGCGTGGGCCTGTTTTTTTCCCTTTATTTCAGATATGAGGCACAGACTTCTGAATTAAGCTCTGTAAGGCATAATATAACCCTCCAATTTACAAATAGGAATTCTCTGTGGGTGACATCATCTGTAAACGGCACACTGTGATGTGCTGAGTGACTCATGAGATGGCTGCTTGCCTTGGTCTGGTGAGGAAAGGTTTCTGTGTTCTGTGTTTTGCTTCTGAATAAGACGTGCCCAAGTCACCATAAAACTCAGCACAAGCCTCCACTGTCCAGAGCATCACCAAGAGTCAGTGGCACAGCTTAGAGCGCTTGCAATCACAACAGAAGAGAGAGCATGAGTAAACTTTGCTTTTGTACAAAACTGAGAAGCCCTTCCCACCCCTCACCCCTTCAATAAAACCCCAAACAAGAAACAACAACAGAAATTATTTTTAGCTTCATTGACTAGTGTGGATACAATTGGGTGTCTAGGCATCACTGCGGCTAGGGTGATCAATGTTTTCCTTTCTCGAGAGAAGGGATCCTGTCATGCACCCCAGGATGAGCAGTGAAGCCACAAACTTCAAATCTGCATAGCAAGTTCCATCCCCAATTCACAAAGACAACGCAGCGGCAGCGACCTTTCCCTGCTTTGCTCAGCAGCTCTGAGCTCAACTACATCTACCACGGCTCTGTTAAATAGAATAGCATGGTCCCCTAGGACTGTTAACACTTACGATCCTGTGATGAGGTTTTCTCTATACACTGTAGGCCATCAAATGTTACTTTTTCTATCTTTTTCTTTCTTTTTTTTTTTTTTTTTTTTTTTGTTTTTTTTTTTTTTTTTTTTGTTTTTGTTTTTTTGTTTTTTGCTGCACCAAATTTAAGGTTGCCCTTTCAGGCAAGCAGTGGTCGCTAGCTGATAAAACATCTCCTTAGTGGATCACAATAGCTTCTAAAACTGCCTTTCTAATAAAGGCCACCAGAGAGGTAATGCTAAACTGTGCATTTGCCAAATAAGAATATGAATCGTATAAAAGCTCATATTCCAACCCCAGGTCAAATGGCAAAAGGTCTACAAAGTTGGTCTCCGTGTTTGTATAAAAGCTCCGACGGATGTTGTGTATTTGCTATGAAATTACCTTTGGGTCTTAGGTCAGCACACCTCTACTCAGGAATGTGCAAATGATTTTAGACAGCACGATGCTAGTACCGCTCTGTACGATAGATAGGATTTTTTTTTCTTCTTTTCTAAATGGAAAAAAATATCCCTAGTCAGAAATAAACTGACAAATTTACATTCTCCTCTCTTAAAAAAAGTAAATAAAATAACATTATTCAAAATGTGAATTAGCTACAAGACATACAATACAATTACATAGATACATATCAATACAGCACATTCAATCTGCCAAAAAATTAATGATTACAAAGCCAGAATGGATGCTGCAATATCAAGAGAGATGTATGTACAATGATCAGAACATTCATAATTGCACTATACCTACAGGCAATTCTGTTAATTAAATTACAGGTGCTTTCTAGAGCAAGGGATAAAAAAGTAAGCTATGTTGTTTGGGGCCGGGAGAGTAAAGCATGAGAACACTTCATTACCAGTCAGCAATTTCAGTGTTCATACAGCAAGCTGTTCACTCTCTCCCCGCTTTGTTATTCAAGAAAAGTGATTGATATGGAAGTTTAGACTAGTGCCACGCACTATGAGACCAGTATTGTGGCTTAACTTCCCTGCAGCCTCAGAGCAATCACATAGCAACATGGGCTGCTTAACAGGCTTACTCACACATGTTCAGCACTGTTTGCATCTGCTGACAAATTGCACATGGAGAACTCCAGACATCTCTCCTAGTATGATTGTTACATAAATACATGCTTGACAGAACACTGAGTGGTGACTTTTGGATAAATCTACAAATCTTCCTTAAGTTCAAGCAACCAGTTCAAGAAGAACACGAATGTGGTAAAACAAGCTCACTCCCTACCCCCCCCCCCTTTCAAATCAAAGGTTACAGGATAATACTATCAACCAGTGTTCTTGGCAGACTCACTCAAACTGAAAGAACATGAAGAGCTAATAACACTGGTGCCAGTAAAGAGCTATGAACAGATCTCATGACAAACCACAAAGAGTAGTTTTCTATACTGCTCATCTGGACACTGGCGCTGACCTTAAGGGCAAAGAAAAGAACGGACCATGAGAAGCAGTTCGGTTAGCAACTGTTTGGCAATGTGTGTTTCTGTCATTTCACTGTACTGTCTTAATGCTTACATTTTCAGACACTGGCTTTTACTGTTTAAATTAATTTATTTTATCTTATAAAAATCCGGCTTTGGCAACACATACCCATAGCAAAAATTATTTTAAAATTATGGCCCAAACACAAACAGGGGAAGGAGGGAAGGGAAGCTGGAAACAAACAGAAAATGAAGAAGCTACAACAGGGCTCTGGCAGCAGCTGCTGGGGAATGTAGTGTCTGTTGGCATATCATTTGGCATCCGTGGTTTACAGAGAGGGCAAAGAACCTAAAGAGAAAGGAAAGGGAGCAAGGAAGAGAGGAAGGACATGGCACACGGACTGTAGAAGCAAGGACTCCTTTACAGCCTGTACCCATGCACTCTGACTTCCAGACATTCTCTGAACAATACAGCTATGGCTAAAGGTCTGCACCCAAAATATATGACTCTTATTCATTAATGGGTACCCACTGTCCTAGTCCAAGTGAGACAATATATATTGAGGAAGAAATACTAGATGTGATGTGCATCCAGAGATACATTTAAAACCATAGTAGTAATACATACACGCCTTCAGCAGAACCACTGTTAAATGAAGCTGATATAAGACGACTTCAATCGAATGACACTATCCTGACTGCATCACTCGAGAAAGAAACTTGACCAAGAACGGAACCAGGGTAAAGGCTATTGTAATATGGGAGAAAACAAAATCAGCAGGGAGGTATGGAGCAGGAAGAAGAAAAACCAGCTGTATTTTGGTCAATAGTAAAGGGGATGGGGGAGAAGGAAAGGAATGAGGGGGATGGCGAGAAAGAGAGAAAGAGAGAAAGAGGGAGAGAGGAAGAGAGAGAGAGAGAGAGAGAACATAAACGATGTGAGTGTTTTTATATTGTGAGTGGATGACTGAAAATTTAAAATACACTGAGTTGCAAGGTTTGCCTAAAAAACAAGAGAGAGGAAATGTGCTGGGACTGTACTTCAGCATTCTGTTTCCTCTGAATAGTTTAAATAAAATCATAATATTTACTACAGCTCTGTGGACAAGCTCACGGAGTCCAGGACGGCAATAAATTAGTATTATGCAAATTGTTTTCCACAGAAATACAGTCCTTCTTGGTTATCTTCAACGGCCCACAGGGAAGGGAAGAGCGGTTTCTGGGAGGCACAGTTAGACCAGATTGTACTCCTTCAGGTTCAGCTGCAGGATGGTGTCCTTGACAGCAGCAAAGACAAAGCGGATGTTCTCGGTGTCTGTGGCGCATGTGAAGTGGGAGTAGATAATTTTGTCACTGTCAGGGTTCAGGTCCACGAACATCTTCAGGATGAATTCTCGAGCTGCCTGGGCATCTCTCTGGGGTCCTGTTTGCCAAGAGAGGAGAAGCAAAGTTTTTCTATGCGATCCATTACACATTTGTTCATTTGTTCAATCGGCACATACTGTGTCACACTCTATGAAGACTAATCTGTATTCTGGATCCATGTTAAGTTCACTCTGCACTGAATTGCATCCTTACCCTTATACAGTGTTTCTTATGCCTCATCCATTGCCCCTGATAGTTCTATTTAGGTGAATTAGAAGCTTGTGATGGGTAGTGTTGAATGTCAAGTTGCCACATCTTGTATCTCCTGAAAGGGGTCTGAGTTGAGGGACTGTCTAGATCACATCAGCACAGGGTCCTGAACAAGAGAAAACTAGATGGGACAAGCAAGGGCGCATCTACTCTCTTTGTTCTTGCCTATAGCTGTAGTATGACTACCTTCTTGAGCTCCTGCTTTGATGTTCTCCAAAGATGGACTGTAACCAGGGACTTGTAAGCCACACACTCTTTTCTCCCCCAAGTTGCTTTTTGTTAAGGTATTTTATTAAAGCAACAGAAATGAAACACTTCAGTCCTTGTATGCTTTCTATTGTGGTGATAAACACCAAGACCAATCTGGGGAGGAAAGGATATATTTCAGCTCCTGAATAAAGGTCTGGGCAGGAATACAAGGCAGGAATGGAGGCAGAAACTGATGCAGAAGTCATGGAGGAATGCTATTTACTAGCCCATTCCTCATGGCTCGCTCAGTCTGCTTTTTCTTTTTCTTTCTTTTCTTTGAGACAGGGTTCTCTGTGGCTTTGGAGCCTGTCCTGGAACTTGTTCTGTAGACCAGGATGGCCTTGAACTCAGAAATCTGCCTGCCTCCGCCTCCCAAGTGCTGGCATTAAAGGCATGGGCCACACTACCTACACAACTTTCCTACACATGGCTTTCCTACACAACTCAGGGCCACCTGCCTGGGATGGTATCATCCCCAGTGCTCTGGTCTCTATATCAATCATTAATCAAAACATGTCCTTTGAACTTGCTTACAGGCCAATCTCATGGAGGCATTTTCATAATTAAGACTCTGTTTTTCAAGATGCCCCTAGCATATGTTAAACTGACCCCCCCCCAAAAAAAGAGCACTGAAGCAGTAAAAGAAAAAAATAAACTACACCCTAGCTACATCTCATATATATCAACAAGAAAGTCAACAACCTGATTAAAACTGGTCAAAAGTCTTGAACTGATAGTTTTGCAAAAGAAGTAACAACCAATGAGCATACAGGATGCTTAACTCTTGATACTCACTTAGGGAATACCAAATGAAATCATGAGGTAGTCTTCCCATCTACTAGCCTGGATATTATTTTAAAATGGATAAAATAACCTTTGGCAACAGGTTAAGTCTGCACCTCTGCCTAACATTGGTATGCAGACAAAATGGGACAGCCACTACAGAAAACAGTTTAGTGATTGCCATATAACCCAGCAACTCATGTAGTAGGTGGATACACTCCAAATGAATGGAAATGAGGGCATTTCATAATTGAATATACAGTACCACTAGCAAACAGCAAACAGAAGTGACTGAAGTCAGTTGAGTAAGCCAAAGGTGGTTAATGGTAAGTTCCAAAAGATGGTATAACATGTATAAACTTTTAAAATACATTCTGAAATCAAAATGCTGGACATAGACAAATACTGTGTGACTTTACTTATCTACAGGCTATAGAGACAGAAAAGTAGAGTAAAGGGATAGCATTCCAGGCTTGGGGCGGGGGGCGGCGCAGGCAATAGGGTGTTAGCTGGAGTGGTAGATACATTGGCAATGGCTGCAGAGTTTCATAATGTAAACTATGTCATTATTATATGTTTAAGTTAAAATTTAAATGTTCTGTACATTTTATTGCATTTAAAAACTAACAGTGTCATATGCCCTGGACCATTTCTAATTGTGTACAGGATCAATCACATCATTTATCAATCAAGCAGTTTAACACTTAAACAGATTCTGGCAAGTGTGAGTTTAAAGCTTCTAAACTGATATCAGACACCATCACCTTTCAGGTGCTGTGCAGGTACCCTGAGCACTGTGCCACTGCGTGTCTGCTTCTCTTTACTGCTGCAAGTTAATTCTACACCAGTAAAAGGAAGTGTCATTTTTCTCCTAGGCAAGACCTCCCTGGATTGACAATGTGGGTTTGTTCCACGTAAGTGAACCCTGCTGAGGCCTAAGGACTTTAGTCTGAGTCTTAGGCAGATAACTTGAAAACCTTAATTAACTCCACTATAGATATGGACTCATACCTACATCCCACACTGCCAGGAATTGCAAGAAAGAGCTATGAAGTAGAGTCCTCTCATTTGTACAAGTACTAACGAGGGACTTTGAGGTTTTGGTGACTAAGGCTGCCAACATGGAAAATAAAATGTGTCATTATTTAGATGGTACATATGTGAAACAGGGTTCTGTCCTTAGCAATGTACTGTGAACTTACTGGTTCCACAGCAGCACCAAACACTTAAAAGAGAGACTAAGAGACAGGCAGGGTGTGAGAAGGCTGCCATTTCCCCAGCTATTATTCTTACTCTGTTTGGGAAGGAAAAGACCCCATTTTTTTTTTGTTCTGCTTATTATCTATAGAATATCAGAAATAGATTTGAGATCACTGAAATGCACTGGCAGTGTGCTATGTTTTAAGCATAAATTATGTTATTGCAGCACACAGGATTACAAAGAATAGGTATAGCCATCACAGCAGGCACAAAACGCCGGTCTCTAGGAACAATTCTGCAGTCCATGTGGAAACAGTGATTTCTCTTCCTGAAGAGACATAGAGAAATAGAGACAGCACTCATCTGATTAAGATCTCGAAGGAAGACATTTGTAGCTGTGAAACTGATAATATCTAAAGTGTATTACCAAAACAACATCACTATTGTATGCTCAACAGTTTTTTTCAGTCTTAGTTCATCTTCCTAGGGCTTTGGATTTCATGAAACAACTTTGTTTTCTTGAAAGCAACAAAGCCATTGCCTTTTTAACTTAGCTGTGGCCTTATTTCCTTTGGACATTATATATCCATTACAGAAGGTCAACAGTTAAAATCATCTTCAAATTCTAAAACATTTATAGTAATCTCCTCTTGGAAGGAAATTGCTTGTAGTGATGAGGACTCAGGACAATACTGCAGAAAGTGGCAGAACCTGCTTGAGAAAACCTGGATGTGCAGTGTGGCCAGCCATCACACGGCTGCCGGTGAGCAGCTGGGCTCGGGAGCTTCAACTTGGAGGCTGTACATTGCTATCTGTCTGTATTCAAGCAGAAAAACAGGGGGTCCATTGAGCCACTGATGTATAAGGTATAGTCATTTTTTCCCCACTGTCCACTGGCTCTCACCAACTCTGTAAAGGAATTGAGCCTTCCTTCTGGTTTATGAGCAAGCATTCATGTTTATATGTGAGTCAAGTGTTTCTTGCTCCTGTTCTCAGACCATGTGCTTACAGGAGTGGCCTGCTATTGAGGGGGATCAGGTACACCATATATAGTCATTTCCTCCCTCAGGAACACTGAGGCAATTTCAGGCATTTACCATTTGCTTCTGGGTTAGTGAGAACATAGAAAGAGCAAAGAGAAAATCCTGTTTGGGTTAAGACAGGTTTTGTTCTTTTGAAATAGCCAGGCAAACAGGAAAATGTACTCTGAGAAAAAAAATCCCTGTCTCCAAACAACTGGCTGTATACCCAATCATATATATGCATTTGAGATGCAAACTTCAGCTGATGAACATGCCACATTTCACTTCCTTGAGCCAGCACTGCACCTAATACATACAGAGCAAAAGGGCACCCAAAACTTCATAGAAAGCTATGAAGGCAAAGGGATCTTTAATCTCCAAGGAGTCACATCTCTTAGGGAGCTTTTGGAGGGACAAAACCACTATGGTGCAGAAGCCACAGATCTCCTTTGTTGATGATGTCATTTTGTAGTAGTTATTACATTCATCCTGTAAGTACTTTGGGATGTGGTCCTACTCAGTGTTAGGTTATTATGCTAAGTCATTTACCCAAGACTTCACCAGTCCTTATCAATGGAGGAAGACACTAAAAGTTAAATTTATTTAAGGTAACAGTCAGTGATGGGCAGCACTTGGAGATACTCAGTTTTTACCATCTGAACTATGGCTTGGTTGGCTCTGTAAAGGGCCAGAGACTAAGACTTTTAGGCTTTGGAGATCTTTTAATGCCTGTCCACACCACTTGCTTCTGATGTGGTGAGGAGAACACAGTCCTAGGAAAATGTATGAGCTGCAATGATTTTTGTGTAATAACAGATGGCAGCCTTTGGTTTGGTCTGTCTACTGCAGGTTTAAGTTTTACAGAACACTGCCACCTTGCTTGGGAGGGCTGGAAGGCTGGATGTGGACCCAATTTAGTCAACACATTTTCCTCAGGATGGTGGTGTTCTATATAGTATACCTGGGAGCTCTACTTTTTAATGTTGGAAACAGTGCAAGGCCAAGTTCAAATGAGGACTGCAGACCCTAAATGCTCCAGGAAGCGTGCTTAAACAACAGTCACCATCACTAAGAATGGTAGGATGTCCATCTCCAATAGCTCACTTGGCCATCAATCCTAGGACTTTTGCTAGTAAAGTTTTCCCAGATTAAATACTGCCAGGGTATTCAAGTACAATATTAATGCCACCCATCTGTTTTCTATTAGCCTATAAAGCAGCTCTCATAGCTGTGGCCTGAAGGATCAGAAAAATCAAGGTTCTCTAAACATAATCCTAGAAACAGGGAGGGCCTAGACTAGGATTTGAACTTCGGTGTATGTAATGGTTTGAATGAGAATGTCTTTCATAGACTGGGACATTTCGACACTTGGTCCCCAGTTGGTAGTGCTGTATTGGCAAGTTTAAGCGATGTGTCTTGCTGTAGGAAGTAAGACACTGGGGGAGGGCTTTGAACGTTAAGTGTCGCTTTACATCTGATTGTTTCTGCTTTGGTATGTGTTTAAAGATGAGCTCTCATTTCCCCTCCTCTGGCCATCATGCTGCCATGCCTCCCCATCAAGGCGGACGACTATACCTTCTCTAAGTTCCTTGCTCATGGTTAACAACAGAAAGTAATACAATATACTGACTTCAGAGGTGAGCTCCTTACAAGAAAGAGGCAGGAGTGGGTAACAAAATAATATGGAGGGAAACTGGAAATTACAGTGGCTAACAGAAAAAGCTACCAAATTGTTTAGTCTCTGAACAGGTTATTTTGTTGCTTTCCCCATAACTTTTAACATTAAGGATAAATTGTTTTATATCATTGCAAGTCAGGGAACAGTAACTTGTATTCTAGCATGCCTCCCATCATGCCTATGGCTCCAGGCACTGAAGCCAAGCTGCCTGTAGCTCCTATAGACTCACGGCTCCAGGTACCGCACCATGCTGCCTCTAGTCCCTACAGGCCTCAGGGCTCCAAGTACTGTGCCATGTTGCCTCTAACCCCCATAGGCTCATGGCTCTGGGCACTGCACTAGCATTAACAGCACAAGTCCTTCTCAGCTGTGAGGCTGGCAGAAGGTGCCCACTTACCATCATATTCTGGGAAGTAGTCGACTAGGTGGGAATACATAATTTTCTCCTCTAGAAGATCTTTCTTGTTTAAGAACAGAATAACAGAGGAGTTCTGGAACCAGGGATATGTGATAATTGTTCTAAAGAGTGCTTTGCTCTCTTCCATTCGGTTCTGGGGAAAAAGAAAATCAGAAAAATAAAGAGTGAATTACTGATGATACAACTGGTCCACTGGCTGGCTCCGTAAGTCCAACCCATCTTCTGTGTGCTTCAGATTCTTAAAGCTTGAGTTGGACTTGTCAGGATTTATAAGCAAATCGTTCACAGCACAGATTGACTGTTTTCATTAAGCCAACTCTCAGATCGACAAGCAGAAAAGATTAGTAATAAAAATACCTGCGGAAATAACTTCTTAGGTTTGAAAAGAAACTAATCAGAGCCTAGATGACAAAGCTGTATGTGACACACTGCAATAAATTTCCACCAAAAATGTCCATTCATAATCAAATACAAATTAAGCACAAAAATGCCAGGCTTCACTTTGCATTTTCTAAACTATATTTACTTGGAGCTTCACTATGTTTTAAGCACCCAAATCAAAGTTACTTACTTAGTTGTCCCTAGGCATATCTAGATTACCACCACAACAATGTACATGGACTTAAATCAAAGTTACTGAATTGTCTCTAGGCAATTATCTAGACTACCCCAATGATGTACATGTACATATATACACCTGGGGTCACCACTGTTCTTTGGTGCACTCTTTCTCCAAGTTTCACTATGTGCACATCTACACAACTATGTATAAAACAAAGTAACACCCCAGAGACAAAAACCTACCCTTGTTTAAAGAAATGTTCTCACCTGTAGTCCTGGCTGACCTGGAACTATGTAGACTGTACTGCCTTCAACTCACAAAGATCTACCTGTTTGTGTTTCACCAGTGTTGGATTCAAAGGCGTGTGCCACCCTACCTGGCAAAAAAATATAGTCTTCCTCAGCACTTGTAAGTGTGCTTACCCAGGGCAATACTTTGAAACTTACTTTGGTGACAGAAACTCCAATGGTTTCTCAAGAAATTAAGCCAGAATATTTGCACAAGCCCATTTGTTAGAAAGACTCACTTCTGTCCTCCCAAGTTCTCCAGAAGGGGCTGCTGGGCCCCTAAGGAAGAGTCTGTCCTGGGTCTTTCCTGCTCTGCATCCCTTGAAGGCAGGCAGCTAGACCCTGGGCTGACAAAGGAAGCACAGGGGTCTCCCTCAAGTGTGAGCTGAGTCCCCAGGTTCCAGTGGGATCTGTGGAGAGAGAGTCCCATAGCAAGCTTCCGGGAAGGCTGCTAGGACAAGCTCTTCTGAGCCCAGCACTGGGCCCCTGAGATGACCTGTCTAGAGCTGTAACTACTCAGGTCTATTGCTCTTAGGCCACACTGACACACAGCCTGCTCAGGAACCCATCTTGCTGAAGCACACAAAGGGTACCACTTGTGACTGATTTGGCCTTGGATACTGGGAGGCTGCCTGTTGGCAGCAGGGGAAGGAGTGCTGGCCCGGCTCCCCTTTACAAAAGACTGGAACACACTATCAATGCGGGTGTCCCACAGTAACATTCTAACAGTGCTAGCTCTCTCCCTCCCCTCTTTCCCAAGGGGTAAGGGATTTATTAGGATTTCCCTCCTCAAGGGAAATCCCTATACTCCCCCATTCCCAGGAGAAAAGTTCTCTGTTCTGAAGCACAGCTAAATCCTAAGTGCACTGCCTTAGATTTTCACAAGCCTCACTCACAGGGCAGAACAAACACAGCGCATGAGGAATAATTGATTCTGCTCAGGAACCCAACCTTGGAGGGAACAGCAAGTCCCAGGAGGCATGTAGCTCTTGCTTTGTGTAGTCTGTAAGGGCAGGAAGGTTCAAGGAGAAAAACAAAAAGCAATGTATGAGGCATGTATGACCAATGATGAAAATATTGAGTTTTTGTTCACTCTGAAGACAAAGCAGCCTGTGGTGTGGCATACCCTCACAGCCCTCTTAGGTTTTTTAATAGAAAACGTCCAAGAAGATCCAAGAGGATCCAGTACAGGTTTCGTTATGCCAGGCACAGTATTCTGCGTTAACTGGATGAACTGGCCTCCACCTAGCCTCAAGGAGCTTTTCTACTGTGAATCCCCTAACTACTAACTACTTCTGAACCTACCCATGTAACATTGAAAGCTGGAATGGGGAGCCTGCTACGGTCTGCCTGGCTTTTCTTCCTTTTGCTGTCACATGCTCGACTGCAGGGTTATAGATTTTATGAAGCCACCACAGAGACATGGAAAAGGAAGGTTTTCCTAGCCCACACTGTAGTACTCAGCTGGAGGCCTCTACTCATGGCCTTGGCCCTGATGGAGGCCAAGCCTCCCACTACCGTTTGTAACTGCAGCAGGATAATTTGGCCAGACATCTCCTTCCTATGGCTGTCAAAGTCACAAGGAGAGTTCTCACCCCTTGTCATCTCTCTAATTGCACCGCTTTGTAATGCAATCTAACACCTAACACACAATGCTACTCACAGGATAACACACCCACCAGTCCCTGGCCTGGTGTCCACAGCTTGACAGCCTGATACACATACATCTGTGAGCCCCTTCACAAATGCTCTCCTCCATACAGAGATCATATGTCACTGCCAGCACACAGGTGTGACTGCACTTTCTTGACCCAACTCCTAATCCTTCAAGCCCAGGTCAAGTGGTCTTGCTCACACCCCACATCCTCCTCTGGGCCTCTAGGTCTTACTCCCTCTCCCACAAGGCACTTGTGCTTGAGACAGAGCCCCTGCCTGGAACTGAAGAAGCTAGCTATACCAAGTGCAGGATTCCTGTCCACATAGGAGGTGGGGTCACACAGGAAGGAAGAGTGTGATAGGATTGAGGCAGAGAAGATCCAGAGTGAAGTTGGTTTTGCGCTGATGCTTGACAGAAAGAGAGCCTGCAAAGAGCAAAAATGAGGGAAACGCAAATTCCAAAATCATTCCCAGGGGCTCCGGAACTTGTGCACTAAGTAAGAAAATCCTTTGTTTTGGGTACCAGACACATTTCCTCCTTATTTGCATTGTGTACTGAGGGCAAGGATGGTACAAACATGGTAGGTTCTATGAAGAACACGCAATTCTTTAAGGATCCAAAAGTAACCACTGTGATTGCAGCCTGCCTGTCCCCAACACTGGAGTGCCGTGGGACCACTCTGGTGCAGCACACCAAAAAGACTTCTTTTTGGCTTGGGTGCAAACATCCTTCTCATCCAGAAAAAGGCCAGGGCGTGTCCACAGGGGCCTAGACTCCACTTAGAAGCTGGGTTTCTGCAGGCTGGAGTCTGGTCCCAGGATAGTTACTGGAAGGCCTAACACAATGGTATCTAATGTCAGTTCACTTTATGGCTCTGCTGCCCATAGGCAAAGGCTGTATTTTCCTTTTCCCCTTCAAAAAGTTGGTGCTTTTCTCTGTCGAGGCAACACTAAACTAAAGGTTTGCACAACTCATTCACTAGCCTTTTTATCTCATTGTTCTCTCACTAATACACATAGAATTATTTTTATATTTTTGGTTGTGAGCTTGGCCTTTAATGACTGAATCATCTCTCTAGCCCTGGAGTTGTTTTTAAACAAAACAAAACATACAAAACAAGTTGACAAAAAGATCCTTAACTCTTTATTTATCTGATACATATCTGTAGGAAAAGAGTAGATTCCTGAGTGAATACATGTGTTGACATGGGCATTGCCATGTCAGGTTCCTCAGTGCCTCATCCCTCTGGCAGTGGCAAAGCCTTCACCAAGTGACACTCAGAGGGACAGCAAAGCCTTCATTGGGTCTATGGGAGAATGTTGACAGTGTATGAAGAAAATGTCCATCATAGCTTTCTCCTGGATATTTGGGGCCCCAAGACTGTTCCTAGGAAGATAAGCTGAACCATCCTCCTTGTTCAACTGCTCGCAATAACCCCACCAGCCTGTTATCTGTGTATCTTAAACAGAGCTTCTAGGCATTGCAGCTTCTCCACCTGAGAGCTCAGATCACTGATTCCGGGATCCCAGCTTTTCTGTATCTGGTTTTTGTCTTTCCTTCATTCTCTAGCTATGCCAGTCAGGTCAAGGTTGTGGCATAAGCCACCTGACTGCCTCCCTCATATTCTGTCCATTTGACTAGCTCAATAAATCATATTGACTACATAGTTCACATAGGCACTAGAATCGTGCCTGTAAATACAAAACTGGATGCTGAAGAAACAAACACATAGAAAACTAGATCCCCTCATTCCCAAGGGCTGACAGTCAACTGTGAGGTGTTTGCTGCTGAGGTCTACTGCTAGAGGATGGATAGAGCTTTCTAGGATACAGTGATGGCCTGCACTACCTGAAAATCATGAGGGTAAGTGGTCCAGTGTCACCTCCGGATGCCAGAAGCAGACAGATGAATGTGATTCTGTTGCCCACACTTTCTATTAGAAAAGAACATCACAGCCTTCTAAATGAACAAGGTCAGACAGACAAGCAGAGTGTGCCTGCATTGGGGATCATGTGTAGATGACTATGTGCAAGTCTAGAAGGTGGAAAGATTTCGTTGGCTCCTTTTCAGTCAGATATTTAAAGTAAGCAAGTGGCCTCAGCAAGAGATCCTGACATATGGTAGTACACTCAACTGCTAGGAACTGCAATGTTACCACCCAGGTCTCTTACTACTTTTTCTTACCACAGGCAGACAAAGAATGCTTCTGAAATTCTCCAATTGTTAAAATGGATATCTCCAAAAATGTCAGAAAATGCCCAAATTCCAACCCAGACAAAACCAAGAAGATGACACATTACATCAGTGAAGAAGTTAGGACAAGAAATAATTAGGTTCCTTAGCCACCCCTCCCTTCTGCTACCCAAATCAGACAAGACGGGTGGAAAGGACAGGGCACCAAATCCAGCTGGACACATATTGTTTCCTCAACAATTTTCCTAGTCTTTGCAAATCTCTGCAAGCAACTATTTGAGATTAAATTAGGTGTGTGCTCTAGGCTTGAAAATGACTCCAAAAAGTTTTCATATTATGATAGCTTTGTATACATGTCAGCACATTCTGCTGCCCAGGATGTGTACAGAGGCAAAGAGGCAGAAGACATTTGCCTATTACCTCAAGGTCTAAGT